AGAGCTCATCAAGAGCAAGAGCGTTTAAACTTAATCAAATCTTTGAGTATCACATGTAAAACAGCTGCAGAAGAGGAAAAGCAAAAGGAGTTAGATGATGAACTGGAAGACTTGATGAATGATGATTTCATTCTCGAGTTTCAGAAACAGAGAATGAAAGAAATGCTGAAACAAAACAGCAATATGCTAACATTTGGTCAAGTTCAATCATTGCAATCCCAAGATGACTTTTTAAATGCTATTGATAATGAAAATAAAATGGTTACTATAATTATTCATATTTATGAAAATAATGTTAAGGCATGCCAGACTATGAATAAATGTTTAGACACTTTAGCAATAGAATACAACAATATAAAATTTTGTAAAATAATAGGATCTATCGCGGGTTTGAGTAGATCATTTAAAATTCAAGGTGTTCCTGCTATTTTAGTTTATAAAGATGGTCAGCTTATGGGAAATTTTGTCAGAATTTCTGATGATTTAGGTGATGAGTTTCCTGCTTCAGATGTTGAAAGCTTTTTAATAGAGCATGGCTTAATTGCTGACAGATTATGTGTACCAAAAATTATTACAGGAGAAAATATTTAATATTATATGAAATTCAAAGTAATGTTAGAGGTCGTCTATAAATTAATGTACACTTTAATGATCTATATGCATTTATGATGTTTTTATAAGAACACATATAAATACAATACAATTGCAAAGCGCTCTGGTAATTCAAAATATTTGAATAACTTAACTCATTTACACAAATGCATATATATATGCATACCTATTCTATTAAGTGCAACTTTTAGTTATGCTTTTAATATTATGATATATTATTAAAATATAATATAAGTAGTAGTTGGGTATATTAATATTAGCCACGAGGAATGAAGATAATTCCAATCAGAGATTATCATAAAATGTATTAAAATTGTTCTAATCGAATGTGAATGTAGAAATTATACATGAGAAAAATATAAATTAAAAATTAACTAAATTAACAATGAAATTGTTTTATACAAATTAATTAATCATGAAGAAGTTAAGCATAAGTTGAAGATAGAATATATATAATTAGATTATTATATTGTCTAGGGATTCAATGATAATCGATTTAAAGAGTTGACATAAAAATCACATGATTTTAAGAGAGTTATGTACATAGATAAAAGAAGAGTAAATCTTTTCTAGAGAATGGTTTGTTTAAATGATGCAACAGTTAAATTACAATTCAAATAAGATTGGAAATATTATATGGATATATTTTATATTCATATCCATTTCATATCATTCATCTATATTATTATTTCCAATTTTAAAAAACATCGACACACTAGCGCTCAGTGGATCGTACAGGAACTAACTCATAATCATAACTGATATTGACATTTCGACAATTGACGTTTGTGCTGTAGTTGTAGCCAAATATTTAAGAATTATTGTAATTTTATTATTTTAAATTGAATTATAAATGAAAATAGGAAAGCAGTCATAACGGTAGCATTATAATATATGATTGTGAAAAATCTTACACACTAAACTGTAAAATAATAACAAATTAAAAAAAAACTCATGGAGATAATTCCTATAAAAATACTGTTATATTATATATATTATTGAATTTTTTTATTTGTGAAAATAATCAAATCTATCTTGTGAAAATGGCTGATTCAAATGATCCAAGTACTCTGAGTTCAGACAAAAATCCAAGTGATAACTGTGATAATGAACTTAATACTTGCAACCCTTCTTTGTCATCAGAACTTCAAGCTGAGGAAATTGCAATTATGAAAGGTGATGCTATAGGAGATACTTTATATAGTGAACGTTTTGTATTGTCTACTTTAATACAATTAACTAAATACACAGATTTTAACGAATCTCTGGAAAAAGAACTATGTACTTTATGGGATATGACCATTGAACGAGATGTAGTTTTATTGTTATTGGAACATAATAGTTTGGAACTTATTGCTAATATTATTCAAAATGAAACAAATGAAAGGTTAACTGAAATATTAGTTGGTATTGTTGCAAATATGTCTTGTTTATCAGAAACACGCAAAAAACTCTGTTTCGATAAAAAAACAATGGAAATTTTTTTAGATGTAATAAACACCCAAGATCCTTTAATACTTATACAACTAATGAGATTTATCACTTCGGTACTCATATTTGAAAATTCTGGTGATGAATATGTTTGGTTTCAACATTTTGAAAATAAAGTTGAGTTCATTGATCAATTAGCTTTTATTCTACATAACTCTACAAATTCAATTTTAATACTTAATGCATTAGAAGCCTTAATATCAATGTGTGCAAAGTTTGTCATGCTGGATATGGAAGACAATTCTTCAAGTACATTTATGCAAATGTTTGTTAAAGGCATTGTGGTGAGCGGTGTTATAGAAGCCTTTAAGCAAACAACTCCAATTCAGTTATTAGATGGTGATGACACAAATTTACCAACACAGAAGCAACAGAAGATTTGCAATTTATTTCTGGAAATCAATTGCATACTTACTCAATATGGGAATCATTCCATAAAAATTTATGAAGAGCATATCTCTGAAATACTCTCTTGTATGAATGTTATTCTTCACCCATTAACCAAAATAATGTATTTAGTTCCATTTACACAGAATACTCAAGGTATTGTAGAAAACATTACAGAAATTTTATCATCATTGGACGAGCCTTTTGATATAGGAGTAATCATAAAATTATACACCATTTGGAATTTAGCAGATATCGAAATTAACAAGTTTAAAAAAGAGTCAGCTGATGTCTGGGAAAAAGATAATTCAAATAATTCTCAAGAAGAAAGTATATGCGGAACAAATATCTGTATGGCTATTTCTGATTATTATATAAAAATTATCAGTAAATTGTCTGACAAAGATTTTATTCAAATTATACAAAATCATTTTACATTTGATATGATTCAAGAATTAAGTAAAAAAATGCTTAGTATAGGTAGTGAGGAAGCAAATGAAGCCTACAATAAAATAAGAAAAGTATCACAAGCAATTTGGACTAAGAATATAGACCAATAAAACACAGTATTGTAATTCATCAGCATCGTTATTAAATTTATAAGTGCAATTTTCATAAATGTTGAAATAAAATTTGTATTACAATCTAATTTTATCAATACTAAATATAAAATATTTAATATAATGGTTTATTATTAGTAAAACGTGTAATGAGATCCCAAGCCCATTTTGGTTGATCTGTCGGAACCATATGCCCTGCATTTCGAACCATTACTTCTGTTAAATTTCCTGCTATTTTAGCATATCCAGCTATATGCTTATCCACAATCCAAGGTTTGCGTTCAGCAGTTTTGTATAGTGTTGCAGAACTAAAATTAAGTTGCTGTAAGTAATTAACAGTCAAAGGGTATGCTACAATAATATCTAGCTGGCCATTATAAATCAAACAACGATAATGAGAAAGAAGTTCAATTAACTGTGGTGCAATGGTATCCATAACATCAGCCTTCAAATGTTCCTCAACTTTCTTATCAACATTGAAAGGCAAATTTCCAACATGGATTGCTTTTCGTATGTCTTCCCTTTGAATAAATGCACCCATATATTCCATTTTAGAATCATCATCAGTTTGCAAGTAATTGAAATAATAATTAAAACCTGTTAAATTTTGGAATATTGACCCCTGAGTTGTCATATCGCCATTGAGCAATTCATCAAATATGTTAAAAGCAGCAATGAAATCCTTTTTCTTCAAGTCTTCAACAGCAATATCCTCATATTTATGGAACAAATCACGTCCCGATGCATCTAGAAGGCCTAATTGATACAAATAATCGCCATATTTCAATTGGTGCTCAGGATCACAAAGACCATTGCCAATGGCTAATCCTTTCAAATTAATTTTAACTTGTGATGATGGATTATTAATATGAATTGCATAACTTATGGCAGGTACATATTTACCAGCATAAGATTCACCACTTACAAAGAAATCATTTTTTTGCAATTGCGGAAATAATAAAAAGAACTGTTGTAAGCAGTGCAGCAAATTCAATCCTACATCAAATTCATTAGATGAATAACCCAAATCATTTTCTGTAAAACTAAAACCGGTACCAACAGGATTATCAATATAAATTAAATTATGATTACGGGACCATGTGTACTTTCTTTTCTTCAATCCTTTTTTTGTTACATAAAATGGTCCGTTTTCAGTAAATAATCCCATTAAAGATGTTGCACCTGGACCACCTTGCAACCATAAAACAACTGGCGCATTAGGTGCGTCTAATTCAGCAGGAAAGAACCAAAAGAACAAATTTGAATTATATGTTTTATTAACAGTTAAGTATCCGGCATAGCTTTCAACATCTTGAAAACTCTCGTGATTCACCTTTGCTAATTTCTGAGCTTCTATAATTTTTCCACCTTCTATATACGGAGTTAAGAACAATGGGTCACCAGCATCTCCAAAAACTAACCTTTGTTGTATCCTTGGATATTGATTTATAAAACCGTTGATCTCAACGATAATTAAAGCAAAACAAACTACTAAAATACGCATGATTAAAATGTCACTTTACTTCGGGCGAATTGTACCATTAAAATGTAATCTTATCGGTTCAACGGCTTCAGAAAATCAGACTCACCCGACTCGACGCTTTCTGTTCTAACTGACAGAACAAAATAAAGTCCTTTGGTCGTTTGTTGCTGTGACACTTGACCCTTGTTATCTATCACGTGACCTAAGGTCAAATTTCAGACCTGCAATGACAATATTTGAAATGGAATATTTCTAATCGTTATTTATTTTTCAATTTAATCATTTAGTACAAAATTACGTTAGACCCCAATAAAATATTTCATATTATTTTAGTTTGAAATTCAAATCTAAACAGCTATAAGTTCTATTTTCATGATAAAAAAAATTGACTATATAAAACTTAATAAAATGATTGAGAAATTTGTTATTACAATTTGATAGCTTGATAACGATACAATTTAGAAGTTATTTAAATCGCAAAACTGGTAGACAATCATGTAGCTGAATTCATTCAATTATTGAAAATTATAAATTGAATTAATAAATTTAAGTATTTTTAAACGATATTTCGCATATTTTGTTTTTTATCATTATTAAAAACAACAATTTTTAATAGAATTAATAATGAAACTTTTGATTAAAAAAGTAAAAAATGAATAACGTACGAATAAGTATATTTCAAGAAAAAATTGTTTCTATTAACTTCCCAAAGAAGAATTTTCCTATAAACTTAAACTATCAAAAAATTTTTTTTTTATTTACTCTGATTATAATTAATACACGTTAAAAACTATTTATTTCCAAAAATACATTTAATTTTTTAATGAGAATTGTTTCCAGCTCCTTCCGCTTGAAGCGCTTCTATCGTTACCTATGCTCTTGTTATATTAGGATTTCAAGTCGTTTAGTGTTCACTCTCAGCTCTCAGCTCTCACGCTTATCTTTGGTTAAATCAGATCTTGCTGTGCATTTTGTCACTTGTAGCGGTTTGTTCGATTATATTTTTACGAAACAATGAAAGTAATATTGAGAAACAAATAATACAAATGTAGTTTAGTTCGTACATTTTATAGCAATCTTCACGATGGCCGCCGGTCCGATAGCAGAAAGAAATCAAGGTAGTTATCAAAAGAGATTTCGAATTTATAGGTTATCCTACTAAATTTATTTACAAATGTTTAATGTATCTTTCATTTGCAGATGCCACTATTTATGTTGGTGGTTTGGACGATAAAGTCTCAGAAAGTCTTATGTGGGAGTTATTTGTTCAATCTGGGCCTGTTGGTTAGTGTTTTACAAATGATCCAAACAATTTGGCTGGATGATCCAGTTGCTTATCGATCATTCTACATGTTTCTTTTTGTTCTTTACTCACACACACATAAATAAATAATTAATATATATATATATATATATATATATATATATATTTATATATACTTTTAAGTTTCCTTGTTTAAGCATTCTATAGTAACAATTGAAACAATTTGTTGCTGTTAAACTTTATTTATTTACATATATTTAAATTGAATTGAGATGAAACATTCTTAGAATATCAATTAACAGTATTTAATTCAATACCAATATCTCACAAACTTAATTAAAAATATTTTTTTAGTGAATGTCCATATGCCAAAAGATCGTGTTACTCAAATGCATCAAGGATATGGATTTGTTGAATTTCTGGGAGAAGAAGATGCAGACTATGCAATCAAAATTATGAACATGATAAAACTTTATGGAAAACCAATTAGGGTCAATAAAGCTTCAGCACATCAGAAAAATCTGGATGTCGGTGCCAATGTGTTTATAGGAAATCTAGACACAGAAGTTGATGAAAAATTATTGTATGACACATTTTCTGCTTTTGGAGTAATTCTTCAAACGCCGAAGGTACCAAATGTATTATGTTATTATTCCTATACTTAAAACTATAGATATTATCTTGAATTGTGCATGTAATAATATATGCTAGTTGCATTAGAGGTTTTGGCAACAGGGTTCAATTCAGCACTGCTGGCATATAATATTAAAATTAATATAAATTATATTCTGCATTTTGCTAGATAATGAGGGATCCAGACACTGGTAATTCAAAGGGTTTTGCATTCATAAATTTTGCCAGTTTTGATGCTTCTGATGCTGCTATTGATGCAATGAATGGTCAACATCTGTGTAATAGACCTATATCGGTATCATATGCTTTTAAAAAGGAAGCTAGGGGAGAGCGACATGGTTCTGCTGCAGAACGGTGAGTTTTAGAAATAAATAATTATTATATAAATTAACATTTATTTATAAAATTTGAAATATATAATTTGTATATACATTCTAATTAAGTAAAATTACTCATACAGTTTGCTAGCTGCACAGAATCCATTATCACAAGCAGATAGGCCTCATCAATTGTTTGCTGATGCTCCAACTGGTGGCATGGGTATGGCACCACCTCCTCTACCAGGCATGATGCCACCTCCACCTCCCCTACCCCATCAGGCGGTTGCAGCAGTGGCTGCGCATCATATGGCTTCAATGATGAATACTATGATGCCACCTCCACCGCCTGTAACACCAACACCGCAAGGTAGCCTTCATCCACCACCTCCCCCGCCAGTTCCTCCGCCGCACATGCAACCACCACCACCGCCACCGGCGCCGCCACGAATGATGCCGCCTCCGCCACCATGGCAACCTCAAGGGGGTAAGTATCTCATCAATGAGAAAATCGTGAGATTTCTTTTATATATGCTTATATTTTAATATTATATTGTTTGCTTTTGGGTATATGCTCATTTATAATTTTTATGTTACCATTGTATTGTATACATTGTAATTATTATATGTTATTATACATTGCTCACAAACATTTGAGATAAAATAATATAAATTATTAAAGCTAATTTTTTTAAACTATTTATTCTTATAATTTCAGGTCCTGGTGGGCAATATCCTCCACCTCCACCACCTCAACATTTTGGAAGTAACTTCAATGGTCGTCCGCCTCCACCACCAAATTGGAGACCTCCCCCACCAGGATTTAGACCACCACCACCTCCTGGATTTAGACCACCACCACCACCTCCAGGAAATAATTATGCTCCACCACCACAAAATTTCAATGATAACTTTTCTTACTGATAAAATCAACAATGTTAGACATATTTATATAAATATGTGAAGGGATAGCGCATTGGAATATGAATATGTTTTGAATGTGATTTGAACGAGTACTTTTGTATGTTATGCTGAATAAATAAGGTAAAGAACTGATTTTTTTTATATAAATATATTTTATTTGAAAATATTGACATATAATTTTAATATTGATTGATATATGTTTAATATGATTATTGTACTCTTCATTTAGCCGATAATTTGTTTTATATTTGATTATGTAATCACGTTTTTTTTCCTTTGCTTTTTCGTTTTGCATTGTTTGCTGGAGATTTAACTTCTTCTGGAATTTGTTCCTCCTGTCCATCTTGATTTTGGAGCATAAACTCATTACATATGTCACTACCCTTCTCCTCCATAAATATTGGTGGAATCTTTGGCGTAAACTCTTCTACTTGAGCCAAAAGATTTTCAGCATAACCCGGCGTTAAATAGCGAATAACTTCCTCTGGGAAACATGCATTAATGTTGGCAATGTACTCCATTAATGTACTACCTATAAATGATTCATAAAATTTAATAACTTATATATTTGATTTAATAATTTATATTATAATAATTTAATAATATATCAATCATTATTTAAAATTAACAATGATTTAATAATCAAGAAAAAACGGTTTAATTTATTTAACAGAATTTAGTCATTTTTAGACAGTTTTTGAATTTTTGATATCAATTCAAGTTTGCAAATATTTATAATTTCTTGAGGAAATTGAACATTTTTTGTTAAACTTTCAATTGTTTTTATGTATAAAAAATGATTTTTCTGTGGTTATCATGCCTAAGATATCCTTTAATATCTGAAATTCATTTTATGTAGAATTGTGATCATTAAAAAAGTTGCAGAGAAATAATCTTATTTTGTTTACCTGGTTCTGCTGGTATTTCTTGTACTTTTTTTAGACCTCCTGTTGTAACAAATAATCTTCTTGCACGTTGATCATGTGGAAGAATTTTGCTATATTGTCCTAGAATGTATTTAAGTATGCTTGGTGGAGAATCATAGAGAAGCGGCTCGAGAGCAGGCAGATGTAAACATTTTTGTAAGCACAACTTTAGGGCACATTTACATTTATTTTGCAAATCTTCAGAACTACTGCCTTTTATATGTAACTCGACTAATCGAGGAAAGATCCCAGCTAATGCAATATGGTTGCAGTGCTCAGGAGTATGTTTACCTACATACATATAAAGCATTCATAATATCATTGTAATGTGCACATGATATGTCAACAAAATAAAATAAGAATAATGAAATGTTACCGATATGACTCAGAGCCCAAACAGCAGCAGTAAGAACTCTATCAGGTTGTTCATCTGCAATAACAGCTGCGATGACAGTAACAACTTTAGCCGCTATTAACGATAAAGCTAGTTGCTCCGATTGTCCGGCAATATAACCAATTGCGGTTAGTACGGCCACTTGTACATCAGGGTCTGGCAATGCAGTGAGCTCGATCAATGGCCCGCAAGCTCCAGAATTTACAACCAGTTGGGCCAACTCCACGGAATGTTTCACGATTTGCCGAACCTCAACGATACAAATTATAAATATATCGACACTAAGGGTGCGTTCGACTTGGACGCTTACGCGCTGTGAGCGCTCACGCTTATAAGCACGAATTTTTAGCGTTCGACTTGGCCGATAAGCGCTCAGAATCGATAACTAAATTCCGTTCGTTTTGGAAACTGTGAGCGTCAATAAGCATCAAAATGGCGGCAACTGGCGGTAACGGTAATTGTGTAAATTTTATTACTTTCTGGATCATTCAGCGGGATTATACACAATTTAACAATTAATAAATAAATAAAATTTGGTTTGCTTATGCTTAATTAATATTAATATTAAAATTAAAATTTAAAATTATTTAAAATTAATTAAATTTAAAATTAATTAATATTAATATTAATATTAAAAAATAATTGTGATATACAACTTGGCATTTTTGCGGGATTATAAAGAATTTAACAATTAATAAATAAATGAGATTTGGATAGCGTATGCTTAATTAATAGTAATATTAAAATTAAAATTTAAAATTATTTAAAATTAATTGAATTTAAAATAAATAAATAATATGAATAAAATAAAATAAATAATATGAATAAAAAATAAATGTGATATACAACTTGGCATTTTTGCGGGATTATAAAGAATTTAACAATTAATAAATAAATGAAATTTGGTTAGCTTATGCTTAATTAATAGTAATATTAAAATTGAAATTTAAAATTAATTAAATTTAAAATTAATTAATATCAATATTAATATTAAGAAATAATTGTGATCTACAGCTTGCTATTTTTGCGGAATTATAATGAATTTGACAATTAATAAACAAATGAAATGACAGATAGTAAAAACAACTGACGCTCACGCTCACGCTGCCCTACCTCTGTGGCGTGAGCGTATGTGAGCGCAAAATATGTGCTACGAGCATCCTACGATGGTGCTACGAGCGTACTTATGTGACACTCACAGCGCCAAGTCGAACGATGAAAGCGCGCTCACGGCGCGCTCACAGCGCGTAAGCGTCCAAGTCGAATGCACCCTAAATGATAAAAGTATGAAAATAGCATATTGTCTTTATCATATTCAATAAATACATACCAAATCGGCCGCATTTACTCTGATTAATCTGTCCTCACTCATTAAAAGATGTAATGCCACCGGAAATACTTCCGCTTCTACACAAGCCTCAGCTAATTGTTGACTGTGAGAAGCTATTTGTGCCAATGTTGACAATACACATCTTTTCAATTTGTTGTCTTGATTGGCAAGACACTTGCTAAGGAAGAGTATTGTACCGCTTTCAGCAATATTCGCTGCCAACGAAGGGCTGTGTTTGGCTATTTCAGATAAAGCCATCGCGGCGCTTTGCTTTAGGCAAAGTTCTGGTTGTTGTAGATTCAATACTATCAAAGGTACAGCTCCCTGGTCTACAATGGCCCTTGCCAGCTCTGGTGAATGTTTTGCCATATGAGCAATGCAAGCCATCGCGCTTTCTTTAACTGTTATATCAAAATCCTCCAGGCGTCCAATGGCATATTCTAAGCCACCACAATGTTGCACCATCTGATGGTAGTTATAATATTTGAGCCAATTATTGACAAATTTTTAAGAAAATATTATAGATTTCATATTAATAACAATTGCCGAAGGTCGTTTCGAGAAACTAATTAACATTTTCATTTTTTTTAAAATTAATTTTCAACTTTCCTTAGGTAAGTTATATTAATCGCAAAAAAATCGAAAATGAAAATGTTTTTATATCTTTACGTTTCAAAGGTTTCTGAATATTTTGGCATACCTTAGAAAAAATGGATGTATGTGTGTGTGTGTGTGCGGATACAAATTTTCGTCAACGATTTCGGGACAACCGATCAACCGATTTGAATAATACAAAAACCATTTTACTTGTATTGACAAGATTAAAAGTTGATTAAATTTTTGGGAAGGCAGGTCCAGCGGTTATGGACTCTCAATAAAAATAAGTTAAAAAAATGTCATGTAGCGGTCAAAAATGTTTATTGGACATATGTACATCAAATTATCAGATATTAATTTCAGAGATCAGAGATTTTAATGATGTGTACACATTTTGTGTAATTTTTTTTGGTTTCGTACCAATATTTTTAATTACGGTACGAGAAGTTCCAGCAATTTGTCTTAAGGCACGATGCCATGCACCCCACTAAGTTTTTGTGATGCAACAATTTGCTATTATTTATTCTGCTGTTTAATATTATTTTTATAGTTTTTTCAAATTCAAACAAGAGTTCAAACTTGCATAAATTTTTAAATCTCTTTAATACATATATTTATTTAATCATCAAGTGTTTCTCATATGATTTCTTGATTTTATGAAAGTATGTATTGTGTATTGCATAGAAGTCCAGTTAAATGAAACGATAATGTGAATTCGAAAGCATTCACGTAAAAATAAGAAAATAAAAAATTGCTCTTATGAATATACTATATACCAGGGCTTCTTATACTTTTTTATATAGCGACCCCCCTCAAGCTTAGGAAATTTTAAACGACCCCCTCCTCCAAATAATAAAATATATATTAACCGTTATCGCACTATTTTACAATGTAAATAAAATAAGGATTGAAGAATATGTACCCATTCATGTTATATATAATTGGAAACGTTGACATAAAACTATATATATATATATATTATATATATATATATATATATATATATATATATTTAATAGAAAAAATAAACTTTTGTAACAAATTCTTTATAAGAAAACATAAAACTATATCTACATATTCAATAGAAAAAATAAACTTTTGTAACATTTTTTTTATGAAAACCTATTAACATCAAACAATATTAATGAGATGAATGTGATTGTTTATTTTTACACAAATAATTAAATCTAGGCTCAATTTAAGTTAGTGCAGATCGTAATAAATTTTCAACGTTTATTAAAGTTATTGGAAACGTATTTTGATTTTATGTAAGTTAATGTAGAAAAGGCTGATTCACATAAATATGTTGCACAAAATGGCAGTAATTTGTTTATTGCCATTTCCGATAGTAGGGAATATTCTGATTTGATTTCAATCCAAAATTCATGCACAGGCACTTGAGAAAATCTGAGTCGCAAGGTAGTATCACATGCTAATTCGGTAAATTCTTCTTGTGCTTTTAAGTTTAAAAAAATAATTTCCTCCATTTCAATTGAAAATGGATTGCAAATCCATTGTTGTGTATCGATATCATTGAGAAAATACCTATGCATGTAAACTTCCATATTCTTAAAATGATTAACTATAATTTTTGTTATATGAGTATCTTTTTTTGAAATATTGTTACTAATTATATACTCGTCAGTAAATGGAAACATTTCGGGCGATCCACTTTCTACTTTGTTTTCCCATATAAGAATTATTTTAACAAAGGCCTCAAGTTTATTTTTTAACATAAACATATTGAGAAACATAAACTGCATTGATAAATTCATATCATTGATTTTATCAAAAATATTGGCCAAATAGCATAGCTTGAGAAGCCATAAATTATCGTGAAAATAGTCGGCCTAACAATACTAATTTTAAAATTTTGTTTATAATGATTGGAAAGTATCAGATCTTTGCGACCCCTTATTAGTAGTCTCCCCCCCCCACTTTAAGAAGAAGCCCTGCTATATACTATATACTTACTGTAGCCAATTGTGTGCCATGCTTGGCAATGGATCTCAGAGCGAGGAGCACCGCGCGCTTATAGTGCACAAGATGATTATCTGCTGATTGCAGCATCACTTGCACGATATCAGCATTTACAATACTTAGGGCAACTTTTTCACTATGTCCAGCAAGACGTGCAAGGCCCAATGTTGCTAGTTGTACCACTGAATTGTTCGTGTCTTTTAACAGACTTGAAAGGATTGCAATTGCTTTGGCACTAATTAGGCACTGGACATTCGTTGCCCTAATTGCTAAGTCGGAAACCTGTAAATAAATATTGATACCTGTTTCAATCATAGTGTTAACTCATTATTTCTAAAAGTTTCTAACTTTTTTATAGTGCATTCGTTCTGGATGAAAAAGATATATTACAACAGTGAATATTATAAAAGTATAATATTATAACAACCATTTTTTTTAAATTAATTAAGATTACTTTTGGGATCTTATTATTATTTCATTTATCAAATTCTACTTTTGTATATTATCAATCAGATATTTATACCGTTTGGACAAAGTTCAAACGAGCGCGCTCGTATTGCTCAAATACGTTCAAAATTGTGCGTGATGCCATTTCTGTACTTATTTCAACATCAATAAAAATTTATATATAAAAATTTTGGTGACAAGTGACACATTTATACGTTTTGTTTTTTTTATATAAAATTTATTTTTTATTGGGTTCAAAACCAGGTAGATATGCTTTTTGATAGCATGGGATTCATGTGCAGAAACTGAACAAATAAATTCTACTGATATCGCTTTTTTTAAATTAGTATCTTAACTATTTTTCTCTCAAATAAGCATACTTTGCTGTTAAAACAGACTTTAGTATGAATTTTTCAAAACCAATTTAAAAGTCATTATTTTTTTTTGGAAAGTTCAAATAATTTAAAGTAATATCTTTCCGATTTTTTAATTGTAAGACTAAACAATTTCTTATTCAGCGACGATATCTCCGATTCTAAGTGCAAGGCTGATGGTTTTTGATATTAATTAATATTTTTTACAAATAAACAAATGGTGAAATGATATTCTTATATAAATATTATTATTAGTATTGAATTTTGTGATATGTGTGAAACGAAAATTAAATGTTAAATATGAACAATAAAACACTCAGATTTTTAACCCACACTTTATTTAATAATTACAAACGTTTCGAGATAATGGTATGCCCTAGCTTCAGGGTAATTTCAAAACAGTAAAAAATCAAATATAATTTAAATAAAATATTAAATAATTTATTAGTATATAGTTTTTACTGTTTTGAAATTACACTGAAGATGAGGCATACCATGATCTCGAAACGTCTGTAATTATTAAATAAAGTGTGGGTTAAAAATCTGAGTGTTGTATTGTTCATAATTAACATTTAATCATTAGTCAGTATAAATACAGTTATGAGAAAATCGTAAGCAACAAACAATTTGCTCAAAATATGTTTTTTTTCGTGACCTGATCCATAAATAATCGAAGTAAGCACAGGAAGTGGAAGTGGAAGCGGAAGTAAGCATATGTCATTTTATACTCTTTCTTTATCTATGTTTATATTCTTCTTTTATCTATGGACATCATCCATAAAATTATTAGTACGATCTGCTCTCACACTTATCTATGCGCTAATCCATACATAAAAAGGCAACGTGCGGAGGTTACCTGTCTAATGATTCGTTATTCCCGTATCTGTGGATAACGGATGTCACTTTTAGAGGTTGGTCATGAATGATTAGCCATAAATCACTCACTAGTAGAAGAAGTTGTTGTGGTTCATCACTTGAAGGAAAATTTTCTCATTCTTAGCTGTCGACCGATTTAAGGTTCTTGCAAAGGTAAGTGTTTTCACTTTTCATTTGTTGTAAAGATAAGTTATCTAATGATTAAAAAATGCGCGTGAGAGCTCTTGTGATAGGCCGATGTATTCTTAAATGCATCTCGATTTATATTATATATAAATTTAGCTTTGTGTATCATTGTTGAGTTCTGTGAGGTGAAGATTATGAGATCTGAAGATAACTATTATACATTGCACGAAATAAATATTCATATTTCATTTATCCGTAAATTTTCTAATATAATTGTATATTTTTTCAGGTAGTTTGCTCGTGTCGATATTACTTGTTTTACCTTGTTTCTGTGAGTATATAAGTGCTCTTCTTAAATATTAACTTTTATTATATCTATTTCAAAGTATAAAATTATTTAATGATTAAAAAATGCGCGTGAGGGCTTATTTGATATACGGTGCATTATTAAATGCATCTCGATTTATGTTTTACATAAGTTTAGCTTTTGTGTATCATTATTGAGCCCCGTGAGGTGAAGATTATGAGATCTGAAGATAATTATTATACACAAAATAAGACAAATATATACATTATTTTATTTAATCATATCTAATTTAAGTATATTTTTCAGATCGATTGCTTGTCTAGGAATTGATTGTTTTTCTTAGTTTCATGTAAGTTTTAAAATTATTGTATATTAACATATTTTCTAAATAATTTTATCTAATGATTAAAAAATGCGCGTGAGGGCTTATTTGATATATGGTGCATTCTTAAATGCATCTCGATTTATGTTTTACATAAATTTAGCTTTTGTATATCATTATTGAGCCCCGTGAGGTGTTAGATTATGAGATCTGAAGATAAATTGTTTATATATATATATATATATATATATATATATTACATTTTAGTTATAAATATTATAAATTTTACATTTTAATGTGTACTTATTTTTCCAGGTGAATGCTCGTTATTTTCAGGAGATGGTCCTTTCCATTTTGTGAGTATTTAAGGTTATAGGTTTAAATTAACTTCAATGATTGTTCAATCAATAATCCAGTAATCGAATATGTGTGGGAGATTTTGTGTACAGTGTAGGTAAAAAATGTACAGTGATAGCATTGCCATTTTGAACCTACAGAGGTGAAAAGTATGGTCTAAAACATATATTCATAATTCCTTCAGAGTTCTGTTATATCTGATTTCACATTAGATGTAAAGGCATTATTTATTTTTTACCTTATTTCCTTTATTGTTACGGAGTTCTTTGAAAGAGTTTAATTGTAATAGTAATTTAATTTTTGTGGAACTAATGAAGGAATGAGAACATTCAATTTTTATTGTTTATAATTTTAGCTTACTGACTGCATATTTGTGCTGTGATAAAATGTAATTATAGTTCAATAAATCACTAGTATTACAAACATAAATTGTTGCCTTATTACTACCTTTACTCATAAAGTAAACGCCATGATAAATATTTATCAACATTTACTTTAAAATTTATTTTCAGGGGTTAGGTTAGAATTAGGCCTACAGATTTCAATTATAAACTTATTACTAACATATGAAGTGGATTAGTGTTTTCAAAAAAATGTGATAGGATTTTCAATTTTAAAATATGTCTTTTATAAGAAATCTTTATGACTCAGTAATTTCTATAATAGAGTTTAGATTCTAGACAATATAATAATGTTTAGATGGTAATGTTTAGAATGGTTTAGATAATCTAAATGTTCAACAAATAAATTTCAGTTATTCTTATTATATTGTATTATTTATATTATATCTATATGTTGCCGAAGTTTAAATGATTGGTAAGGTTTCATGCAGCCATATCAAATGTTTGAAATTTTTGAAAAATGATCATCCTTTAATTTTATGGATAAATAGGGTGTTGTAAACTAATATTTCTTGCAAGCTATGAAGTGAACAAATTAATTCTATGACAATTACCTTTTGAATGGCTACATTAAAAATAAATTAATAATTTAATTTTGTTATATAGACATAAACTTGGCTTTGATATGTAGACATAACTTCATTGATTTATTGCAATTAAAGTTCTAACAAGTTTAATGCAATTAAATGTACTAATAATTGCTTATTATTATACAATACAATTATTATTATCTATGGCTGACTTTATTAGGTTTAATGTAAGTTAGTTAATAAATGAAGGAATATAAGGATTAACCTAAAACTTCAAGAAAAACTTGAGAAATATTTTAGAATACAGTGAGGTTATGTCAGTACCGAGCCATTTATCGTTATTGTTATTATAAATGCAGGGAAGGTGTCAACTGCGTTATTCATATTTCTAAAACAACAAGATAAACATAATTATAATTTGATACTCTTCTTTTATCTACGAATTTGACCGTATGCTGCATGAGTATGAAATCACCTTTATTTTATCAAAGCCGTCTTGATCGACGCTTGCGGCAAGCGCAGCTAACTTCACGGTGTCATGAAAGCCACTTTTTGTTCTAGCAAAATATGTGAGTGTTTTAGGTTTTAGGATATTTTACTTATATGCGATAACTAGTGATATTTGTAAGTGATAATCGAAAGGACTTAACTATAATTTGAAAGCAATATGAGTGTCGAAGACGAAGTTATGAGAATACAGAAGAAGTTGCATAAAATGACGACCGACGAAGAAAGCGTGAGTGATAATATAAGGCAGTATTAATGAAATGATATCAGTAAAGCATTGTTTTGTGTATTTCATACGCATTTTATACATTTAACAAAATCAAAAATACAGCAGAATTGTTAAGAATGTTTCCTATTACCGGTTTATCATCTATTTCTGCAACGGGCGCCAATTTTTTTGGTGGGGATCGTAATATAAAATATGCCGATCTAATTTTTAGGGACAAGAGCAAGCATTGGATCTCTTGAAGTCATTGCAAACTCTAAAAATTGATTTAGACATTTTGACAAAAACACGAATTGGTATGACCGTTAACGCATTGAGAAAATGCAGTAAAGATGATGAGGTTATTAGTTTGTCAAAAACTTTAATAAAAAATTGGAAAAAGTTTTTGTCTTGCCCTCCATCAACAAAAGATACAACTAGTAGTACTTCTAAACCAAAAGTTAAAGAAGAAAAGAAATACGAAAAAGAGAAATCTCAAACATCTTTCCCACCAACATCAACAACTACTGATTCAGTCAGGTAAATCGCTTATAGCTATTTTTACCTATAATTGCAAAAGTTTTTTTATTAAGCTTGAACATTCCATGGGAATCGAAATTTATATTATAAGTACTACAGTACTATTTAATTTTGTGTTATATATTCTATGTATTATAGATTAATAATGAGCATTTTGACTTGTAAGGTTGAAGTGCCGGGAACTCTTGGCTAGTGCTCTTAAAGTAGATGGAGAAGATCATGAAGGTTGTGCATCAGTTGAGGAATTAGCTGAAGAATTAGAAGAATGTATTTACAATGAATTTAAAAATACTGATACAAGATATAAAAACAGAATCCGATCTCGTGTTTCAAACTTGAAAGATGTCAAAAATCCGACACTTCGAACCAATTTTATCGCTGGGGTGATAACTGCTTCAAAGTAAGAATAAGTTAAGAACTTATCCATGGTATATTAAGATTGCTTTTAATTATTATTTTTGAATGTTGGGAGTTTAATTTCATCTGTAGTTGATTCATAACTAATAATTTTAGTAATTTGTATATTGAAATTTCGACACATATAAATCTCAGAAATTTTAATTTTTTTAATTTCTCTTCTGTAGTTTTTTTTTGTGAAAATTGACAAATAATTTATTTAAATTCATAAAAATAAGTAGAGAAATTGATTAATTCATCTTGTCCAAATAATTTTGGGGATTCTGTTATATTTGGTAGGGTTTGGTTATAAAATTAAATGTTTAGAAGTTTTTATAACTTGGCTTAGTTAAAATACTCTAATTAGATTCATATTACATTTCATGTAAAGACTGGCGAAAATGACATCAGAAGAGATGGCATCAGATGAAATTAAAAAGCTTAGAGAGAAATTTGTGAAAGAAGCTATCAATGATGCACAATTGGCGACAGTACAGGGAACAAAAACTGGCTTACTCAAATGTGGCAAATGTAAGAAACGTAATTGCACATATAATCAAGTGCAAACCAGATCAGCTGATGAGCCTATGACAACATTCGTCCTTTGCAATGAATGCGGAAATAGATGGAAATTCTGTTAGAAAGGTTTTAAACGGGTATGTTTTACTATTATAATGTGGAATACAAACATGGAATATAACCATTTAACTTGATCATATAATTGGTAATATTTTATTGTAATAAATATTAACTTCTCTTTTACCTTATTGTTAACTTAGATTAACATAAATCTCTCTTATAGATGCCGTTTATGACCTGCATATCTTCGAAATTTTGTTTTTTATGGTTACAATCAGCTATTCAAATATTTTTTGGATAAGCTTATAACAAGACTAAATATTTCATAAATTCGATCTTTGTGAAATAAGTGTTTAGAAGTATATCTATAATTATGAGCGTATTTAATTTTCAATTATGCAATAATTTAAATGTTATAAAGAAAGTGTATCATCAATGTGACTGTTTCATGTATTGTAATAGAATTGACAATATATTTATATCAATTATTTTATGATATAAATTTACTTGATATGCCTGTAATGATGTATAATTATATATACATATATGGCAACTAATTTCAAATGATTTTAACATACTTGTTTATGTATTTTATTTTAGAAATAGACTTCAAATTTGAAAATATAAGTTATCATTTAATTGTTGTCAGATGTTAAACCAAGATAAAAAAAGTTATTTAAAAGCCCACATAATGATTATGTAGTAGTTTTACTTATTTGGGGGAAAAATTTCATTTTTGATGGGTTTACGGTAGGGGCAGTCAGGGCTAGTGGCCAGGGCGGCAAATTTTTGGGGGCTGCAAAATTTGGAAACTAAGAAAAAAATTCTATACAATAGAAATAACTGATTTTTTTAAATTACATTTTTTTTCAAGAAATATTATTAATTAAATTATAATAAATAATATGATTGCAATGCAAAGTTTGGGTTCAAATAACTGATTATAAAAATTCTTTATTTTGCCATGCCTCTTTTTCCAAAGTAAGTAAATTATGAAATTGGTAAATAGGTTATTATCAAATTTGGCTAATATAAAGATTCGTGAATGAGCTGAAAGTTTAGGAAAAATATGCTTTTCAAATCTTGAGCCCTCTCAAGATGATGAGTTTGTGCATTCCAAGCTTATAGCGCCGAAAAAAACATTAAAACTATTGAAACTTCTTGTACTAAAAAATAGATTTTATAAAGAGCTTTAAAATTTTTTGAACTTTCAAAAATTATGAACTTTTTTCAAAGCAATCGCGCTGCGTAGCTGTTTCAGAGACGAAATATCGAAACTCAATTACAATTTTTCGAAACTGTAGATCTGCTGTACCAAAAACTAATCAGCACGTCTCCAGATCAATACAAATATAATATTTTTTTAATTAATCGAGTCGATTTCGAGAACATGGATCAACCGATTTAAATGATTCAAAAAATATTCGATTCTTATTGATAAGGAGACGTGTCGATTTAGTTATTGGCCAAAGCAGGCCCAACTGTTTCAAAAACACGGGACAAAATACCAAAAATGATAATTCAGTTTTTGAGAAACGGAGCTTTCAATTTCAATAATTCAAAAAAAAAAATTACACATATTGACAAAGTGAAGAACTGCTTAAATTTGTGGGATGCAGATCTAGCGGTTTCGGTGATCCAATAAAAAAATTGAAAAGGAAATATTTGGCGGTCAAAAGTGATCATTAGGCTTATGCACATCAAATTATCAGATATTTCATAGGGATTTTAATAATAAGTACAATTTTTGTTTACATTTCTATGAGTTTTCGTACTAATGTTTATCCGTTAGACTGCAATGCGGCGCTCACATGCTTCGTGCGTCCTAAAATGTGGACGAAAATATGCAGACATACAAAACACACACACACACATCAATTTTTCTGAGGTATGCCGAAATGTTCAGAAACTTCTGAAACGTAAAGACATGCAAAAATTTTCGTTTTCGATTTTCGGCCCATTACTATAACTTACCCTAAGGAAAGTTAAAAAAGTTTAAAATTTTCAAAATATGTATAATAAAAAATTCAAGTTTTTCAAAAAGGTCAATTTTTTTCAAAAATTGATTTTTTCAGTTTTCAAAAAATTTTTTTTTTTTTTTTAATTTTAATTTTCAGTACGGGAAGTTCCAATAATTTGCCTTGAAGCAGGATGCCAAGTACCACTGTTTATAATGTAATGCGTAATAAATTTTCTGCAATCAAATAATTATTTTAATTTTAGAAAAATTATATATATATATATATATATATATAAATTTATATATCATTTTTCTAAAATTTCTAAAATATAATTTTAAAACTATATTTAAGTAATATATAAGGAGCGGCATTTTTGTAAGTTAAGCTATTCATTCTCAGCAATTCTTATTATTATTATAAACATATGTACAGGGCCCGATTTAGAAATTTGCAAATTTTTAAATCGGGCCCTGTATACGAGGTCTGTTCAAAAAGTACCCGGAATTTTCGTTTTTTCAAAAAAATATTTATTTATTCGTCTACATTAATGTGGTCCCCTTCAAAGTAGTCCCCTCCAGATATAATACACTTATGCCAGCGTTTTTTCCAATTTTCGAAGCACCCTTGATATTCACTTTTTTGATATGTCCTTGAGCACTCTCAGCGATTTTCTTCAATCGAGGAAAACCGCCGTCCTTTCATGGGTCTCTTCAACTTTGGGAATAGGAAAAAGTCACACGGAGCCATATCTGGTGAATTTTTGCACTTTGCAACACTTTATTTCATTTTTTACGCAAAATTTAATACAAATTCTTTGACTTTTCAATTCTTCCATTGTAAAAATCGCCGAGCTCAGAAAAACACGTCGAACCTTAGCGACTACCACAGACAAAGTAAACAGTGAATATAGCTGAAAATTTCATCATACTTTAGGGGCATGTATACCAACACAATAAAAAAAAAAATTTGACAATCAGACACTCCAGACCCGCGAAATTTAATTATTAGTAATTCCGGGTACTTTTTGAACACACCTCGTATTTGTTTATAATAATAAAAAGCTTCTCTTAGAACGAATTCTTTGGGTCGGAACTCTTGTAATAAAAACTTACAAAATTACTCGAAGTATATACCGTATTCTATTGTTAATTACCACGCTTCGATGATTATATTATAAACAGAAATAATTATTATTGGCAAATTGGTTAAAATATAGTCACGTGGTGTATACGGTGCTGTGATATCACCCCACGCCACTTTTCAAAGGAGCGCAAGAACGGCGTGAAAACCGACGGTTCGGCTCGGCTTCAGTTTGCTTGCAGTGTTAAGCGGGGTCGGTGTCATACGTAACGTAGTGCATGACGAAAAAATAAATACGAACGAAAATAATAATGTCCGAAATCATGGATGGTTTTAGGAAATATTGATACTTGTTACGAGTTATAATGAAGAAATTGTTGTTTTGAAGTGGCCATTGCGCGGGTGTTGTTCTTGTTGTTGTATTGAAATTACTTTTTCTGTTGACTTTCAAATACTGAAACTAATACTGTAGCAGAGTTAGCTAAAATGTTATCAAAACGCTTCTCAAAAGCGAAAGTTAAGGTAAGAAATTATTTAATTAGTTATTAATATTTATTACACTGTATATACTATTAGTATATAATGTACGTTATGTATGTATTTATATTTATATTTTAACCCCTTTAGGGGGTATTCTACTGTAGAGGCATGAATTTCGCCCGGTTTTTGAAGCGCTGTATAAAGGAAACAAATAATATTTTTACTATCGATTTTTTTATAATTTGTTTATTGATATTTTATTATTACATAAAAAAATGATTAAAAAAAAAATTAAAATGCACAAAGTTATGAGCAGTCAAAGTGGGGGCTCAAAAAAAAGAGGGTGTCCTGACGTGCATGATTCCAACCCTCCTGGTGATTTGAAACATAAAAAATAGATGGATTCTTAATTATTATAGATGCCGCTATCGTATGACCCTTGGATAAGTTAAAAAAAAATTTTGTTTGAATGGCGGCAGTTTGAAAAAAAAATTTTTTTTTCATGCTTTTTTAACAATTTCGAATTTTTTAAAAATACTAAATGAAAAGTTATAGTTTTGGGCAAGGTCCACGCGATAAAGCGATGTATAGGGAAGATCCTCTCTAAATTTGAAGTAAATCGGTTCATTATAACTCGAGATATCCTTACCGCCAGCTCGAAAAAAGTAGTTCTGAGAAAAACGCGTTCAAAGTTTTGAAACAAGTCAGACCCGAACCGAGGCCACGTCACTAAAATGGCTATAACTCAGGAAATAATAGTAATTTTGAAAAATCCTTTTAATGACATATTTTTGAATTTGAAAATATGAAAAAAAAATTTTTCGATTTTTTCAAAATTCTACAGTAGAATACCCCCTTAACCCCGTAGTTTCCAACCTATATATTAATCAATTAATATACAATATACATGATATTGTATATTAATCTTTTAGAATGATAATTAAATTAAAATATTAGTTCAGTCTTTACGAAAGTAGATTGTTAGAAAAATTAGGGGGGGGGGGGTGCGCTGTGCTGGATTTACCCGAGGCTACTGCCCAGGGCGGCACAATTTGGAAAGTGAGAAATATATATTATAACTAACTAATTCTTCTCAAAAACAATTTTTATTTAAAAAAATATAAAATATGAAATGCAAAAAAACGAAAATGAAATTTTTTGCATATCTTTACCTTTCAGAGCATGCCTTAGAAAAAATTGATGTATATGTGTTTGTGTGAGTTCAGTTTAATTCAATGAACATTCGATTTCTATTAATGGGGAGACGTTCTGATTAATTTTTGATAAAGTCAGGTCCAGCCGCTTCGATGATACGGAGCAATTTTTAAGATAACGGACCGTCCGATTTAAATGATTTAAAAAAAAAACTATTCATTCGTTTTGACGAAACGAAGATCTAATTAAATTTGAGGAAGACAGGTCTATCGATTTTGGAGATCCAATAATAAGTTAAATTGTTAGAATTTAATAATGGAAGAGGCTTGAACTTGGGATTTTGTTTTCGGCATTTTTCTCATTCATAAGCGTAAAAACCCGGGACAATTCGGGACAAAAAATCTAAATCCGGGACTAATATTTCTTCTAGAAAAACCCGGGACATAAGGTGGAATTCCGGGGCTGTCCCGGCCCAACCGGGACGTATGGTCGCATTACAAAAATTTATATAATTATATGTTTCCAAGTGAAAACAGCCATTTCCAGCATTGCTATTTAGGGTGCATCTAGGACAGTGGCACGGAAACCTTAAAATTACCTCAAATGGGGTAAAAATTTAATTTTTGGGGGTACAAAGCATGTATTTTAATTGATATTTACTGTATTTGCTACGTAGTTCTCCGAATAGGGGTAAGCTTGGCCATGGAGGTCAACTTAGACAAAAATATTTTAGGGTAATGATTAAAAAAGTTTCCCGAACGCTGATCTAAGGTAATCAGTATTTAGTTAAATTATGTTAATAATAATTTAATGAAAAAGAAATAGGCCAACCGTTGGGTTGCTTTAGAGTCATTGCAACAAACTAAGGACTAAAAGTTCTGCTTACTAGTCCTATAATAATTAATATAGTTATATACCTATATGAATTTAAGGACTTAAATACCTATATAAATAATGACAAAGGTTTATCAGCTACTTTCTAATGGTATTGCCATAAATTCATATAATTTTATGTTATAGATATAGAATTGATTTATTTATCTCGTTTTAAATATGAGATGTATTTGTTATTAAAAACATTTCTACATCATTTTACTCTCAATATAGTGATCTGCAAATACATCAATTTGTTCGAAATAGTTCATAATGGCTAATAAATCCGACAATACTATCATGATGAATACATTATTGAAATTGATCAATAAATAATTATCTTAAAATCAACGGTCGTTATAGTTTGTTAAAAAAACAATTATGTTTAAACGTGTTTGTTGGCAAATAAAATATTATGAAATAACAGATTTACGTGACTCAATTATCAATCGATTTTTCCAAAGATGATCTCACCGTTTTGAAGTTTCCAGAAAGATTAAGCGATAAAATACTTTTTGTTCAAATTATTTTTGATCTGTATTCTATGAACTATTACAATGACAAATATGTTTAAATCAATAATAAAACGATACTAATAAAACTAATAAAACGAACTTGTAATAATTCTTGATAATATTTTTATTTGATTTGAATTATTACACATAATTATTATTTCCCGGAAAACGTAAGTAAGCAATTAAAATATTACCTTTGAAAATAGTATTATGAATCGAAAAAATGTTATATTTCGAACCCAATAAGAATTATCCAAACAATACAAAATTTTAATCAACTAATATGTACACAGAACTTTTTATGAAATGGTATGAATTTTATTAGTTTGACCAATTTGATTACATAATGTTTTTGAACGAAATTAACCCTTCTTCTGTAAACTTCTAAATTTACTATTTTCAAACAAAAAAATATTCATACTTTCCATAATAAATATTTTAAAAATCTGTATTTGTCTATAAAATAAAACCGCAGTGCTGTAACAAAAGAAATCACACGAATAAGCGAAATACAACCTTGTTCAATCTTTTTTATTATGCAGCTTTAATGAATATTCTAATTTCAATTTCATAACATCATAGTATGAAATTTACTGTACATATAAATACCTGAAGCGCGTAATCATCAACGTATTTTTATATATATATAATTATCGTTTTTGAAATTTATTTTTTGTTTCATTAAAAAATTTTTTGATCGGGTTGAGTTGAAAATTCAATATGTCAAATTTTAGTTTATAATGAAATTCAATTATAAAATATACATTTATAGCTTCAAAGAATAGTTCGGAATAGTTGAAGATTTGCCAGGCCGTTTCCTAGTAATTTTTTTTTTATTTTTAATGAAATTTAACATGGCGATAAGATTCATGCTCTAATCTAATATCCTAAAATATTATAGCCCCGTGAAAAGTGGTTAAATTTTAAAAATTCTTCAACGTTTGGAAAAATAGGCTGCGCTTTTAGCACGAGTTTTGTGCATTATAATTAATACAATTCCAGATAATATAAGTTTGCTTGAAAAATATCAATTTGGGTGAATACTTGAAAACAATTGAAAATTTCATCTAAATAGCTGAATCTCAATTATCATGGATGAAGTTATTGATTACTAACACATGCCAGGATGGTCAATCAACTTGGCTTAAGGCAAAATGCTGCTTACAATTTAAATATTTGTACGCAAAAAGTAGTTCATTGTTCTAAAATGAAACTATTATGAAACATTTACCAAGGGCACTAAAATTAGTAGCGTAATGTATTTATTTATGAATCTCAACGCGGCATTCCAGCCATCGCATTTAGCTCATTATGCAATTGTTTATAAACATATGAAAGTACATTTTTATCACATAATTATTAAATTTTTGAAACATAATTTTTCAATTCCAAAGTTCATACAAACATTTGGTACACTAACCTATGTTTTGTACTCTGAAATAAATAAGTTTATAATTTATATTTTTAGGAGTAGTTTGTTTTTGCTCGAAAATTTCATTTGAATTTTTAGTTTACTCGACAAAAGGGGAGAAGTAGGTTTGTGTTTATATCTGAGAAAGTAAATTTTACCTTTCGACACGTTTTTTTTAGAAAACTACTGGATCAATCGGTAAAATACAGATTTTTAAAATATTTATTATAGAAAGTATGAATATATAATATATATTAATAATAGATATTAATTGCTTAAAAATTTGTATTATTTGGATAATTCTTATTGAGTTCGGTATATAACATTTTTTAGATTCATGATAATATTTTCAAAGGTAATATTTTAATTGCTTACTTACGTTTTCTGAGGAGTAATAATTATGTGTAACAATTAAAATAATATCAAGAATTATTACAAGTTCGTTTTATTTGAATATGTGATGGTTGGGAAACGTTGATTTAAACATGATTGTCATTATAATAGTTCATAGAATACAGATCAAAAATGATTTGAACAAAAAGTATGTTATTCTGTTTAAATAATCGATTGACACAATTAAAATTTTTCATTGAAACAATATTTAAAAACCAGAAGACCAATAAACCTAAAGTTTTCACTTGTAAGAATATTGATTTCAGTCTATCTCTAAAAGTACGTACTATAAGTACATTTTCTATAACAAAATAAAATAAACCTTTTTAAATGTCTTTGAATGATAATTTCATATTTCATAAAAAATACATAATAATAAAAAGGAAGATCTAAGCTCGTGCATGCACTTTTAATGGGTTTTAATAAATACTATTTTAACGAATTTTCAATTGAATTTTAAATAGAACGAGGGCAACCGATTAGGATATTACATGGTTTTCATATTCATTTTTTTACTTTATTTGTAAAAACTGCGTGCATTCAAAACAATTAAAATAAAATTGTTATTGTTTTCAATTAAGCGTGTCAACAACCAAAAAGCTATAAACCGTGAAATTACTTGTATGAAGAGCAAAAAGTAGTTTTTACCATAACATTGTATTTTTACCATAGCTAATTCTTCTGTTAATGATGCA